GCCATTTGGCGAATGAGACATCTAAGTACAGTATGTGCTTCGCCCCATCGAAATGCAAAGTGCCGCTCAAGGATTCGCACTCACCGGTTCCCGTAGTCACTCTTGAAGGCACACAGCTTCGATACATTGACAGCTTTGTAAACCTAGACAGCCGCGTGTCTGCCGGTGGCGCTATCAGCAAAGAAAATTCCCTCCGCATCACCAGAATCCAGTCTGTGTTTGTCAAGCTGCAACACTTGTTGCGTTGTCGGGATATCTCCCACTTGGTAAAGGGTCGTGTTTACAATGTCGATATTCGCGTGGTGTTTCTTTATGGCATTGAGTCACGGCCAGTTCATGTAGATGACATGAGTTAGTTCTCGGTCATCTGTTATGGGTGCTTGATGAGAATCGCTTCTGTGTGATGGTAACAAAGTATCTGCAACGGTGAAGTTAAAAGTCGTGGCTTAGTGAATACGACTACTCTCTTCAACAAGCTGAATTTGGTGTGCCAGCTAAGATGGCTCAGTCACGTCCTAGGGGTCAGCTGAGCGTCTGCCCCATCGAACCCTGTTCGCTCGTGCAGGATCTGACTGGAAGAGACCAAGAAGTGGTCAACCAACCAACTAGCGACAAAATATCAGACCATGACCTCAATCCTTGATGCTGTTGTATCCACAAGCTTGCCTTGATCGGAACTTAAGGAAGTAGAGTGCCGGTTGTCGTGATAGCAATCCGAAAACCAGAAGGAAGATTGGACTGCGATCAGAATCCATTTGATCAGAAGGCAATATAGTATTTATAGGGCAAATTGCGCTCAGCACAGCGATTTCGATTCGTTCTTCCTTGATTGGCTGTCGCCAGTGGAAACTTAACACCTTCGTCGATCGAGCCAATTGGTCGTGTGGGACTACGAGATGATTCTCGCTCACACATGTGGCGTTGTTTCTCGACTGGGGACGATCGATCAGTTTTCAGACGGTTGGCCCAAATTCGCTCAGCTAGCCCGTTTGATAGGCAAGCAGCATGTTTAAGGTTGCAACTTACCACCACATCTTCATTAGTTTGTGTTTTCGTTGTTTTGGTGTTTCATGTTCCGTATTGTCTTCCACTGCGAGAGAGCTTTCGAACCTGGGCTGCGATATTAGTTGTCTTAATGGCGGTTGGTAGCACCCAACCCGAAAGAACCTACGCAATATCCGAAATGGCGTTGAGTGGAATGGATAGACTAGCCACTAATGAGTCCCCTCGATCTTTAAATAACAACAGAGGAAGGTGGTTGAGTCCAGGTGCCTTGTTCCGTTGTAAAAGAGCGGGTTCTCACCTAAACTTTTCCACAACTGGAGGCGACATCCGTGTCACAGGCGGATACAGCTCATTTAGCAAAGGGTTGTTTCACAGTCAAAATGTTCCGCCAAATTAGTAAATAGTGCCCAGAAAGAATGGAATACCCATCTTTGTTGGCTATTCACCCACTAACCGATGCTTTTTTGGACCGGTGTTTTAAATGGGTTGGAACAGTACTCATTTATTCGCAGTAGTACTGGCATACACTAGCCCAGGCCTACAGTCCGTCTTATGACCTATAGCCAGAGAGCTTAGATCGTTAAAGCTCGGTGGACAAGTCTTCAATAGCATTCTCCGTCGGATGTTTAAGACGATCCGAATCGGAATTGGACTCCTCTTACACGTTCGTCAGTGACATCTGATAAACCGGTTCGTGTTGGCAAAATCAAGTTGTGGATTGTGTGGATTACTAGTGAGAAGCCTCAAGGGTCGATGTATTCATGAGGTGGAGATGATGAAATCGCACGCGTGCGAGTACCAAAGTATGAATAAAACTCAGGCACATGATTTAAATCCATCGACAAACGAGTACCGATGTGCACCATCTGCAGCGAAAAGCCGCATGTCAAGCAGAGTTCAGAACATTGTCATGCCTGGCAAGCGTCAGGGGATAGGAATGTTTGTTGGAAACAAGTGCTGTTAGTATGAAGATTGTGGTCAGCACATAGATAAAGAAACAGAGAACAGTTATCTGTCCCAGATGCATCGAGAACGAAACGGCCCCCCGAACGTTGATGGGAGTCCAATAAGCAACAGATGACATCCCGAAGGATGTTGACATCATCGTTATTTGGAATACCTCGTAAACTGCCAAAAATATTCAACATAAGCTGGAGATACCTATTTCGCGAGTAAGAATGATGAAGGCTTTATTGGGTGCAAGATTATTCCCGTATCGATGCCAGGAGCCGTGTGTGATCGCCATTTGCAAGTGGCTAAAAAGCATCGACGGTTCAACAAATTACATTTCGCGCATCCCAAACGTCAGGGTCGACTTCTAATCCCGTCGCGGCGAACGTCGACATGGCTTTAGCCGCACTCCGAAAGATCATTTACAAGACCACGTCACAAGCGGTTCTAATCTACCTTTGTGAGCATAGGACCACTCAAAGGCTACCTGTGTCTGGGCATAGCTGCTTAAAGAGTGCTTCCTGTGTACGATGACATCGAATTAGTAAGCATAAGACACACTGACGAGTTTTTCAACCCGTGAACGCAGCCGGACGGACTACCATAGAAAGTAACTGATCGTTTCGCTTAACCTGACGATAGTCATACCACCGATGGATTGTTGCTCCGAGCATCAGAGGGCCGTAAGGTTTTGTAGGGCTCCATCATTTATGGAGACGGTGGTATATCCGCCTGTCAAGAAAGGATCGGCTGCCTAATACTACAGTACGGAAAGTGATACGCTGCGGAACAGAAACGCGATGACTGGGTGGTAATCACGGCGATAGGTTTTGTATGTGATAATATATACCCATGGAGTAGGGCACGTCTGACGGGACCGCAGAGTCAAGTGCGCGACTGTCGGTGTTTGACATCAGACCCGCTAGAACAGTCATGAGCCGTCTGGCAGGCACAAATCGAATACGCCTAGGGTAGTGGTTCTCAACTGGGGCTACTTATCGTCAAGGGGATAAAATGGAATTTTACGGGGATTGTATCATCAAGTAGTTACCAAGCGAAATTGATAACAAACCCGTCTTATCTTTGCACGATAACCAGCTGTTTGTGACGGAATTTTGTCTACACAAGGCGTAGGCGCCTTGACCCTGAATGTTTGCTTAGGGCATTAAGGTTTTCAGGTAAGTCCCCCTTCTCTCCCTCTTCTTATTCTTTATTTGAAGGGATGGTTGAAAAAAATGAGTGGCCACTGATATCATATCATATTGGATCACAAGGATCATACAACAAAGTAATTTACCAAATGTACTGGGTGCACGACTTACGATGTGCATTAGCCAAAACCGCAACGATGTTATAAATTGCTGCGATTAAGTAATATAAATCGTCCCATTAACGTAATCCCCATTTAATTTAATAAAAATTACTCAAAGATAAGTGCTTTTTTATTTGAATTATTGAAAGTAATTTAAAATAGTATTCGTTTTCCGCAAAGTAAAGTAAAAATGCAATAGTTAATAGGTAATTAGCATCTTATACTGAATTTTTCGGGTAATTGTTTATAGTGAAACCGCTTTGTGGGTAAAAAGCCTCAAAAAGCTTGAGAACCACTGACCTAGGGGAACAAATTGTGTCCCCGTCGACCACCCATACTGAAGTGCGACGTTTTGAAAGAATGCACGCAGGTAAAAAATCGGTGCCCACCTAGTTGACTGCATGGCAATGTTGACCGTCGACCATTGGGGTCGATTATCTAAGTTCGCATAATCCTTGTGATGGGCCGGCGTCGGTATTATCACCATTCGTTTTACTCTCACATCCACTAGGACAAACATACAATACATAATGGTGTGAATGTTGTAGCTGAATATGACGAGCCAAGTGGTTAACAAGAATACATTGTCCGAGAGAGTGGTACTGTACAACAAGTGATCATGGGAAACATTCGGAAAAGGGAAATCATACGGTGATCAAAAAAACTCTCGAATAAGTGCGCAAATAGTGGTATCAAAGCAACCAGATGTGAACGTGAGGGTAACACCGACCACCGTCTAGATAGCACGGTTTCGTCATTTGAATTCTTGAAGAACAGCAAACAAATATTGTCAATAGATGGAACGTCAATTACTGCTGACGACAACATTATCGAAGGGGTGAAAGTGTTCGGAAAAATGGAAATGCATGAGAGTACTCGAGTGGGTTAGTAATAAATGCATGAAATCCCATCCGACAAAAGCGTTTGGTATCAACTGAGAAAATAAAGTGACCAAAGTCCCACACAGAATTCGACAAAGCAGCTCAAAGTTTATGAGTGATAAAAGTGTTATCCATCCGATTGTAGATTTGATGGCAAGAACAGAGTCAATGTGTGACGAAACGTGTGCATGTGTGCGTGTGCATCACGCAACATCCGCCCCTGCTTGAGTTGCAAAACCGCTGTTGCACAGGGTACAAATGTTGACAATAAATAACCATCTGACCAATTACGCTCATTGAATTTTAGCAAAGTTGCCCAGATTACCAGCCGAAAAACTCCACAATTGGACAGTGAAGAGAGTGGGACAGTCGTAAATGACAAGAGGATTCAATGTCTCACAATAGGTTCATCGATCATATCCATTCTAGGCCTAAAGGGTTGCAAAAACTGCACAAATGATATTTGAAGAGCAGAAAGTCGTTGTAAGGAAGCGGAAAAAAAGTAAATGAAGTTTGAAGAGCAGTTGTTAAACATATAATGCAGAAAATGCGGGCAACCATGGAATGTCAAGCGTGGCAAAGGAAACGAGTAAGTTAAAACAGTGACCCAACGCTACGTGTAAAAAAGGAAGATCATAATACGGGAAAAAGACAAAACTCTGTGAGCGTAATTGTTCTTACACAAACGACTTAATTTTAGCAAAGTTTACTAAAATTCGTGTACCAATTGACTGCAACCGTAACAACACTGGAAAGAGGATAGGATAGCCTATGATGTTGAGACTATGAGCCTGTGTGAAAGGTATTTGAAAGTTGACGGAAGAAATGATTTGCCTCGACCTGTAACTCACTCAGTCTGGTCATTTTGAAACTCCAAAACTCCCACTGTGTCCTCGAAATCTTTCCCACCTCCTTTAGCAGTACCTTCGATGGTTTCATATGGCAACCGCACAATGCCACGACACCCTGCATTGTGAAAATGGTAGAATAAGGGAGAGAAAATAAAATCATTTTTTCAATAAATTTAAAGTTAAGTGCAGAAACATCAACTATTGGGAGAGAACAACAGGAAGTCAAAGCGACGAAATAAGTGTCCCAGTACTCCAATCGTACCGTACTCCATCGTAACGGGAAAAAGTGACAATAAAATGGGAACGCAAGGTTACTAAGACGTATCGGACTACCCGAATGAGAAATTTAACAAATATGGGGCGACTACGCTTAAACAGGCGCTTAATAATGTCACCACAAAAGTCAGGAAAATGCGCTCGCCGTGTTGTTTTCCCATCGTGCATTAGTTTTAAATCTCTCAAATTACTGGATCGTAGTGTGCGAACCTAGCTGCAGGCCACGTTATTGACGGCTATCAAAGGAGAGGTGCATACATGACTTAATGTGGAGTACAGTTAGATGCGACCAAACGGCCAAACCCGTTTTTAGACGAGCATCGATGGATAACAGTATCCTTGAATAAAAGTTGGTTTCCGGTTGAGTGAGTATATCTTATGACATACCCCATAAATGCTAGGTGTTGAATATTCACAACAACGAACACAAGCAGAAGACGTAGATGGTGAGATGACGCCGTCATTTCTTGCATTCTTATCAATCACAAAAACATGCAACATTGGAACATAAACAAACAATGATAACCGATAGCAAAACGCATGGGCTACCACGGTACGCTCAGAGCCACTGTCAGCTGCTTTTGGATGCACAGCGGTGATCGTTCGCGATCGATCACGACAGCTTCCAATAGTCTAAGGATTTTGGGCCGCTGATCGCGCATTAGGACTGTGAACGACTCATCGAGATTGACCGGTGACCAGTAGTCAACAAGTGACTGATGACTGCTGAGGTAGCTCGGTTTCCCGAGTCAACTTATTTCGTTGTCACAGATCCCATGCAGCTGCGTAACCACTTTGGGATGTGTTCATTGGTTCTGCCACCTAGACATCGCTAAGTGCGCCCGACGTAGCTATCTCTACAGGTACACGTAAATTGGTATAGATAGTGGGACATACAGTGTTTTGTCATCGGTGTCTTAATTGAACAAAGTCGAATCATAAAGGGAACGCTTTTTTCAACAAACTTAATGATCGGTCTCATACTGATGTGCACCCACTAGACAGATATAGCAGTTAGTACTTGAATCCGAGACGCAGAGGCTACCAACAGAAGCTTCTACGCTTGCGTCACTAAACCACGGGCAGAAATACGTTTACCGACGACAGAAGATGGTAATAATTCTTAATCTGGAAGCCATCAGCTTACAGCAATGTTTATCCGTGAGCATCGTGCTACGGAACCTTTTCATTCTGAAGTTTCATTACCGTGACTCCAGAGGCTGAGTAAGCGTCTACAGAAAGCTGACTACTGAGCCCGCCAGGAAAAGTTGGGTTCGACATGGTTGTAATACACATCCTTTCTTCAACTTTGTGATCGAAATGACCATATAAAGCGTTTTCACGGATTCTTCTGGGGGGGTGGTGTTACCAAGCGAGCAATTTTATATATATATATATATATATATATATATATATATATATATATATATATAATACACAATATGTGGTACAGACATTGTGCCATCGGAATCATGGCTGAATAGGAAAACAATATGAATAATAAGAAAAGAGCAACAACAAATGCTTGTTTTGTCTATTTTACCACTCACAGCTTTTGAAATTTTTTCAGTTTGTTCCTTTTTTAGGGGGAGGAAGAAGGGACACCGCAACAAACCGATGCACACGTCCGCCATTGACATCGATCTTGAGCCATAACTTCCAAGGTCTTCAATCAGCAAGTATCCTCATCTCTCGGACCCCAACCAGGTAGTCGACAACAACCGGCCGAGGCCAGCTGTCTCGTCAACTTTTTCATGCGGCTTCTCCATGTTGTAGGCTGTCCACCAGACCGTCTCTTCCAGCCCTGTCCAGCAACCGCAAACAACGCACGACGCGGGTTACGCTGGACAGGCATGCGCAATACGTGTCCCAAACACCGCAGCTGATGCAGTGAGATGAGCCCCTCGAGCGAGTGGCTTCCACGTCCCAAGACTGGCTGTCTAACTTCCACCTTGCTTACGTGGTGCTGCCACCACACACGGGCAATGGACCGCAGACAGCGGTGCTCGAAGACGGATAGCCTGCGCAAGTCATCTATACGAATAGGCCAGGTCTCACATCCGTACAACAGTACAGCACGAACAGTTGCACAATAGACCCGCCCTCTGATGGAGAGACGAATGTAGTGGCGACGCCACAAGTGCCTCAGTCTAGAAAAAGTGAGGCGTGCTCTTGAGATGCGCATCGAAATCTCGTCTCCAACAGCCCCGCCAGCAGTGATGCAACTTCCCAAGTAGACAAAGCTCTCCACAACCTCTAGTGTCTCACCCGCAAGCGTGAGTGCAGGCAGAGGCACCTGCCAGTCTTGAAGGAGAGCCTTGCATTTGGATGGCGAAAAGTACATACCGTACTTTGATGCTTCAATCGCCAAGCGGTTTAATGCAAGTTGGACGACCTGTGGATCGTCACCCAGCAAGACGATATCATCAGCATAATCCAAATCGACAACTCGACTAACTGGGAGGAGCTCAACGCCAGCGTTCAACGAATCGCTCAGAGCGTTCTTTAGGACATCCTCAGTGGTAAAGTTGAATAGGAACGGAGATAGGGCATCCTTGTCGAACTCCACTGGAGACCACAAAGGTAGGTGAAAGCATGCCATAAGCCCTAACCCTGCCCGGGGTCAGACTATATAGAGCGCGCAGTATGGAGACGAACTTCTCGGGGACACCGTTCCTCAGAAGGCAATGCCACAATACTGTACGATCGACAGAATCCAAGGCTGCACGGATATCCAGGAACACAGCAATCGTTGGCCTCTGATACACATGGCGGAGCTCGAGGATCTGGCGAAGTGTGAAGATTTGATCAATGCAGCCGCGGCCAGGGCGAAACCCAGCTTGTTCTTCTCGTTGCAAAGATCGGCGTGTTGGGGATAGCCTGCGAAGTATGATGGACACCAGCAGCTTGCAAACGACGGGGACTAAGCTTATTCCTCTGTAGTTGGAGCAGATTGTGCGCAGGCCCTTTCTGAAGATGGGGACGACTATCGATTCACCCCAAGATGATGGAACTTTCTCTTTCGACCAAATTTTCGAGAACAAAGCGGTGAGTTCTCGGATCAGCGATGCGCCACCATCTTTAAATAGAGCTGGGTGAAGACCATCAGGGCCGGGGGCTTTATAACGCTTCATGTGCCGAAGCTTTTGCTCGATTTCCTGGGAAGAGGGAGGGTCTGATGGGGTAGACCACTCGGCCCCAGAGCGAGCGCCAGAGGTAGCAGATGGAGCTGGGGGCCTACAAAACTGCGAGTCAAAATGTTCGGCCCATCGCTCCAACTGTCGTTGAAGATTGGTGATTAAGGTGCCATCCTCTTCGCATATTGTTTCACTTATACCAGATCGATTGAAGCGAGCAATTGACAAACCTTGATTACGCGGACAACATAATCCTTGTTGGATCGGACCCAGCGGCTATGCAGACACAGTTGAACAGGTTGACGCGTAGCGCCGCACGTTTCGGCTTGTGCTTTGCATATTAAAAGTGCAAAGTGCTGTTGCAGAATTAGACCAATAACGCCACTGGTACTAACTACCACCGAACAGTTAATGAAAGCGGTCGATCGGTAGTTTTCATACTGCGCAACAGGCACCAGAGATCCGTAAGAACAAGTAAAAGCCCAAAGAGCATTTCGTATCGGAAGACAAGAAATCGACACATTAAATTAAGTAAACAAACTACGTAGTAAAAGAGGACTACCAAAGAAAGTGAGCATTACACATCAAACCTATGTATCATCATTATACACGCCAGCTAGAGGCTGGAAGCACCTCAGCTACTGCGCAGCAATACCTAAAAGAAAAAAGGGAATAAAATACAACAGGTGCAAGCCAGCTGAGCTACCAGCAACGGATGGACATCGTTACCGTAGGCTACCAGCCGGCTACTACGCAGCAGAGAAAATAATTTATTATGCAAAATTATAAAAGGCTAAATAGTGAGATTGTGATTGCAGGGGGAGGCTAAGACGAATGGGGTGGGACAAAGAAACTCACAGCACGAACACCACTGAGATCGGCTCCTTGCCATATCAGCAAGTGTATCCAGCCAAACCTGTTCATCGTCTTTCGGACCCCAACAGGGAGCCGAGACGCTCCAACTGAGGCCAGCTTTGAAGTGAGGGCCTTCATTTCTCTGGACCAAGTCATCGCTTGGCCACCTCTCCTCTTCTTCCATCCACCCCCTCCCCCGCCGCGCAAACAACGCACGTCGTGGAAGTCGGTGGGCTGGCATGCGCAACACGTGACCCAGCCATCGGAGCCTGGTGCATGAAATGACGGTGCTGAGCGGTTCATTTCCTTTTCCTGTGCCATAAACAAGGCGTCGAACATGCTCGTTGCTTACTCGGTGTTCCCACCAGATGTGAGCTAAATTGTGAAAACACCGGTGGTCGTGCGTAATTAATCTCTTTATGTCCGTTGATCTAAGGGGCCAGGTTTCACAACCGTACAGTAGGGTCGAACGTACCGCTGCAGTGTACACTGTATCCTTCAGGGCGAGAGTGATGTCGCGCCGCCGCCATAGGTGGCGAAGATTAGTAAAAGCACTTCGAGCTTTTGCTATACGGTTCGTGATCTCATCTTCAATCCAACGGGCGCTGATAAAACTTCTCAGATGGTTGAATTTATGGACGATTTCTAGCTGATCCCCACCAAGGGTCAGCGAAGGAGGTGGTCCAGGCTAATCACGGAGGAACGCTTTGTACTTCGAGGGGGCACGGATATCAATAAACCGCATGGTAAGCTTATTGGCATCTTTAGTGCGAAATCTAGGGCATGCAGCACCAATTTCGATGATGCTGCTAAGGCTATGAAAGACGAACTGATGCACCCAACAAAT